CGCAGCCGGCTCGGGGTGACGACTGGAGGGACCCAACCACTGCTGGGTGCCAACTGCAGCAGCGCGGTCCCTGCGCCAGGCAGAGCGCCTTGCAAAACCCAGGAATCTGAGATTATTTTCCTTTGCACTCTCTGCTGGGCTCGGTGCTCAATGGTGGGGCAGGGCAGCAGCTCTGGCACAGCACGGCGTGCCGGGTTTGCCCTGGCACAGAGGAACCGTTTGGCTCTGAGCAGGGGACGTGTCCTTTGCAGGGATGCTGCGCATGGGCTCTGTGACTTCCTCGGCTTGGCTCTGAGCGAGCCCTCGGACTTGGCTGGCAAATCTGACCTCCTGGGAATTGGGAGTGACCTCCTGGGTTTGGGAGTGACCTCCTGGGGTTTGGGAGTGACCTCCTGGATTTTGGGAGTGACCTCCTGGGTTTGAGAGTGACCTCCTGGGTATTGTGAGTGACCTCCTGGATTTTGGGAGTGATCTCTTGGGTTTGGGAGTGACCTCCTGGGGTTTGGGAGTGACCTCCTGGATTTTGGGAGTGACCTCCTGGGTTTGGGAGTGACCTCCTGGGTTTTGGGAGTGACCTCCTGGGTTTAGGGAGTGACCTCCTGGGATTTGGGAGTGACCTCCTGGGTTTAGGGAGTGACCTCCTAGGTTTAGGGAGTGATCTCCTGGGTTTGGGAGGGACCTTCTGGATTTTGGGAGTGACCTCCTGGATTTTGGGAGGGACATCCTGGATTTTGGGAGGGACATCCTGGATTTTAGGAGCGTGGCATTTGCCAAACAGGGCGTCTGGAGAGGCAGGGTAGAGCCGGGCACGTTTGACTTGAGAGTTTTGTCGTTAGTTGTGTAATTTTTAATAGAAATGGTTTGAAGTATCTTTGAGACCACCTGAAGTAGTTGTCCTCCAGGTTCACTGTTAAGACACAGCGTGGGCAAGCCTAGGGGATGGCTGGGCAGCGCAGCTCTGGCAGGGCAGGCTGAGGGCACAGGCGCGTCCCGCAGCGATGGATTTACTCTGTGCTGGCTGCAGGAAAACAAACCCTGCTGCGCTAAGCCGGGCCCTCTGGCTGTGCCCGCCCTGCCCTGCTGCTCCCTCCACCATCACTGACGGAAGAAGAGCGTGCGAGCACCGTGCGAGGCTGCTCCCTGCCCTCGGTGCTCATGGCCCTGCGGCTGCGGGCCTGAGGCATCGCAGGGTTTTGTGGCTGGGGAAGGCAGCTCTGGCTGGGCACCCCCAGCTTTCCCAGGCTCCCCCAGGCTCAAGCCAACTCTTGGCTCATGCTGAGTCCCTCTTCCCCAAGTATTTTCCTTGTTTCTACCATGTTAAGTATTGTACTGTAAGTGATGTGCTAGCTGTAGTGGCAATGTAGCCTCTAGAAGGGCACTGAGCCATAGTGGGAACCTGTCCCTGAGGTGAAGAAATCTTGGGTCATTTAATTGCCCTAATTTTTCAAAATAAGGACCGTGGCCGTGTGCTGCAGCCCAGTCACCCTCCACCTGCCAGCACCCTGCCCAGGGGCAATGCCAACATTTCCAGCCTCGGGGCTCAGGTACCTGCCTAGAAACAGGCAGGGGCTTCGACTTGTCCTGCAAGGCTGTGAATAGTGATGGAGAAGGAATAAATGGTGGAGGAGATGAAATGGGGTGTGAGTGGCTGATTGTCAGGCGTTAACTACATGAGGCAAAGCACAAGAGCCTTGTGGCCGCAGCGTGAAATAAGAAAACCCTGAGCCAGCCGTGACAAATGAGGTTGGGACGTGGGTCCTGAGTGTGCGTGTTCCTGGCAGTGCTCCCACCGAAGGGCTGAAAACCTGGGACAAAAAAAACAGAAGGGGTCAAAATTCTTGACGAGTCCATTTTTTCAGCAATTCTGTGGTTCGTGGGAGCTGACTCGGGGGTTTTGAATGCTAAGAGCTGGCAGCGCTGAGGTGGATGCGGATGTGTGGCATTAGCACCTGCTCATGCTCATCTGCTTTTTGATATATTTTTGTAAAATGCTTCTAGCCCTGGCCTTCTCGTCCTTCTTATGTATCTGTGTGTGTATAGAGAGAAAAGAAATACATACATATTTAAAATGTATATACACACACCCCCCATACATACTCTTATCTATGTGTATATAGATGATAGCGGTGGCACAGGGCAAGCAGACGTATCTATAACTCTGTATCTGCACCATCTGTATCTATGGCTATATCACCTATATATATCCACATCTCTAGATGCATCCCTACATGTGCTCAAGGAGGAGCAATCACTCTGCCCTGGAAGCCACAGCTCTCACCCTTGTTCCCACCAGCCATGACAGTGATGGCCTTGGTAGGTCCCCAAGAAGTCATCCCTTGCACAGATTTGTAGGCACATCCCTAAAACTTTGCAAACAGTTTGCCTGAAGGTCAGGAACCTCTTCTAGCAGTTACAGAAAATGCCCATCAAAGGGATGGAGCGTGCTGGCCCCAGCCACACCATGCCAATCCTTTCAAAATTAAACCTGGGTTTATAAGTATTTCATTTAAATGTCATTTTCTCTGATAGCTATTGAAGCAGTTTGCTGCGTCAGCTCAGGTGCTACTGAGCCACAGATTCTTGGCAGGATCATCCCTTGGGAATGCAGGTCTCTGGCCAGTGAGACATCCCACATGGGACCAGGAGGAGGAGGAAGAGGAGAAGAAGGGGAGATGAAGGGTCGGGGAGAAGTGAGTGGGAGTTGCCTCCTGTGGAGGCAAGTGGTGAAGTGTGGGGCCTGAAATAGGAGGGAGGAAGACTTTATGTACCTCTTTTTCTGTTCCTCTGGACATTTGTCCAACAGTCTCGTTGATTGCCGAGCAGAGATACTGGGAACACTGCTATGTACTGGTGCCAGAGACCTGCTGCTTTCTGCATATGTTTTTCTGCCTGTGGAAGAAGTGAAGAGGTCGGAACTAAAATTCCATCTTCATCCCCACATGCCCAGACCCCCGGGGACCAGCAAGCACTGCGGGTGCTCACCTGACCCAGATGTGCTGTGGAAACAAAGCTCCGGGATGTTAGGCCAAGGGAGGGAATAGTAGAATAGTAGAACGGTTTAGGCTGGAAAGGGCCTTAAAGATCGTCTCGTTCCAACTCCCCTGCCTTGGTAGGGACACCTCCCACCTGGCCTTGGACACTTCCAGGGATTAGGCATCCACAGCTTCTCTGGG